GGAGTCTCTGAGACCCACAGTCACACTGCCAGGGGCTGTTTGAACTGATTAAGCTACCGGCCAGGGCTCCCCCTTCCTTCTGTGGGTCACACTGGCCAGGTCTCCTCGACAGCTGCAGAAGGGAAGAAAAGCTGCACAGTCCATCCTCCACCCCACTGCCATGGATGTGCAACCCTAAAAACTCTGATCAGACTACCCCCCCTCCTGTTTCAACTCAAAGTGTTCTTCCTGCTTTTTCTCTCTTCCTATTCAGGTCCTACCAGTCCGTCGGATCCAGTTAACACTCCTCCTCCAGGAAGCCTTCCTGAGTGCTCCAGCCCAAGCTAGCCCCTTTCTTTTCTCTGTTCTCTGGTTTGCACCAGAGAAGTCCCTCAGGGGACTCATTTGCTACCTCCTGTGACTTCTGGACTTCTGAGCTCTCCAAGAGTTGATACCTTGCCTTCCCAGCCAGTCTATGAGACGCACATCTGCCTACCCCCAGCCTGGCCAAAGCCCAGGCCAGGCATGAGGAGATGCTCAGAAGCATGCATGGAGTGCTGCTCCTAACCCTCCCCTCACACCTCCCCACTCCAGAGTTTCAGTGAGGACCCCACCTTAGGAAGGCCCTGAGAGAATCAAGTGAGATGGGAATAGGCCCTGTTTCCCAAACAAAAATGCAGCTGTGGCCACTGGAATAGATACTTCGGAAAGTATGTAGCGAAAACTCAGGATTCTGGGAAGAGGGAGTGCAGACTGGCAGGTGAATGCCTGACAGTGACAGAGCCAGTTGGGGCAGCTACCTGCCCTGGGGCAAGTCTCCTAGACTCTGCTTCCCTCAACCCCTCCTGTCTCCCCAGTCTCCAGGGACATTCCCTTCTCTCAGGGTGGGAAGCCCTGACCCAGTCCAAGGCTTGTGTTACTTACCACATGCCCATAAGTAGATACTTCCTATCTCCTAAGGGTGCCCTAGCCAGACACAGCTCCTAGAGCTGAGAATAAAGCCACAGATGTGCCTGTCCTGAATTCCCACCTCTTCCAGGAGGTGGCAAAGATCTATCTTATATTGACCCTGTCCCTGGATAACACCTGGTGCTCAAAGAGGAGCTCTCTCTGCTGGGCTCCCATCTTGGCTCTGCTCTGCAGCCATCTTTTCGGTCTCTTCCTGCCAGAGATCTGAATAAAGGGCATGAAGGGAAGCCTCAGCCTACACAGGCTGTAGTTTAGCCACAGGCCTGGTTAACTCTTCTCTCCATGCTGCGGGTCCTTAACCCCAGACACTGGAGGCTGGGGTCTCATCAGCCCCCTTCCTAGCAGACAGTCCCTCCAGGGCCAGGGAGGGATACTCACCCATAAGGGTTTGCTGGCTAGTGCCAAAATATGGAGTCTCTCTGTAACAGGGTGGTCCCCAGGAAAAGGGAAGTTCCAGGTTCCCTGCCCCACCCAGAAGGAGGGTGGAGATGAGGAGAGAAAAGGAGAGAAAAGGAGAGAAGAGAAGGAATCTGAGGAAGAAGGAAGCAGGAAGGAGAGCCAGGAGACCTGAGGAAGCCACATGGAGCAGAAAGCATGTGATGGAGAAACCGTGCTTGTTTCTTGGCCCTGTGCTAGTTGAAAGTGATGTGGGTGAGAGACCCATGGGGAGGCGTCTATGGCAGCATTTATACTGATTTTGATTGTGCTCTTTTCCTCCCAGACTTATCTGGCCATTTCTGACCCTTTTCTATGAGTCCTGGCCAGAAGGCCCTTTAGCCTTGTGGTGAGTTTTCAGGCCTTGCTTTGGACCAATCCCTTTTGGGTTGACTTTTACCCACCAGGGGATGGGTGACTTCAGGTGTTTGATTTAGAAATTATATTCTTTGCTTCTATGCTATATACTTACTGTATTAAAGTTCCTTTTCATTAATGTCTTACATGTTCTGTCTTGATGTGGCAGATGGCAGACCTATTTAGAGGAGGCAGGTTTGGGGGGTTTCAAGGGTGCCCCTCTCTCCCTGCCCTGTAACATCTCCTCATTACTCAGGTTCTTCTGTGAGGCTCAAGGATTTCCAGATGAGTCTCCAGGACTTTACAATTTTCATGTACCTTATGCATATTTTCGTATGTTTGAAATATTTCACTGGAAAAAAACAACCATACCATGTAATACTATTTAGCAATCAAAAGGAAATATTGAAACAGCAAACAACCTGGATGAGTCTCCAGGAAATATGCTGCATGAAGAAAGTTGTGCCCTTTGTTTCACTGCAATTGTGCCCAGTTGCCTCTGAGAAAACAGGATGGGTCACCTGGGAAAATGTGGCTGGGGCTCTTGCTCTTTCCTGGGGCTGTTTAAGCCAGCATGATCGGATCTACAGCCTGAATGTGTGCCAACAGTGATTCCGTCAGTATGCCAAGGATATAGGCTTCCTTAAGTTGGACTAAGTGAATTTCCTTGAGTCAGTCATCTAAGATAGCTATGTTATAGCTGAAACAATGCTAGCTCTTTGTACATTAAAAATAAAAAACAGGGCCCTCCCTGGTGG